CTAGACATCAGGAAGAGCTTGCTGGTGGTGTGAACTGTTCACCAGTGAAATGAACTCCCAGGAAGGGCGATGGACTCTCCTTCTTTGAAGGTTTTTAATAAGTTGGCTGTCCATCTGTCCTGGATGCTTTAGCTGAGATTTCTTCATTGCAGGAGGTTGGACTAGTTGAGTCATTGAGTTCCTTCCAACTCTCAATTCTATGATTCTGTTAATGTGCTTTAAAGGTATAGTGCAGGCTTCCTCAAACTCAGCCCTCCAGATGTTTTGAGACTACAATTCCCATCATCCCTGACCACTGGTCCTTCTAGCTAGGGATCATGGGAGTTGTAGGCCAAAAACATCTGGAGGGCCGAGTTTGAGGAAGTGTGGTATAGTGTGTATATAGCCAGTGTATGTTGATACATTACTTTAATTTTTACACACATACGTTACTGAATTTGAACAAATCTGATAGCAATTTTACTGTGAAATAACATTTCTTGCACAACATTTAAACTGCAAGTCGCACAGTGCTGTGCAACTGTGTGTGCCCCCAGTTTTTGAAATTTATCTGCAAGCTTTATAGGAAATATAGACAGTACATTGTGGCATGGATCCAGATGTGCCAATGGAAATCTAGTTCTACATTCCACTAAGAAAACAGAAGCATCAACAGAAAAGACTTAAAACGGATTTTGAGCTATTCCTATTATTACAGCATGACTTTTCCAGTTAAATTAATATGATTTCTTCTGTTGTTCAGCCAAGTGCTATGACAACAGAGAAGGCCAATAACTCTGAAACTGAATTCATTATTAATTATTTCTAAAATGCAGGTCAGATGCACAAAGAAATAAATTACAATGCATTTTACTTGTTTTCAAGTTACTGTGTGCCTCTACCTGTACATTTGCATTTCCTTTTGCTTGAACTCTGGAATTTTTCTAAAGCAACCATTTATCTCTTAATTGACTACATTCAACTGGTGAATCCCTCATACTAGTACACTTTTCTATGGCTACTCATTCTGAATATAGATGAACAAAATTAGGCTGTGCGTTGTTATTCATGTTCTGTTGGTTTTTCCATTTAAATCTTTGAAGTACAATATCATTCTTGATGCCAAAATAGCACTTTAAAAGTTAAGACAACCTCCCCTTGTGTTCAAGGAATTCATGGTGGTGGTGATGGAGGGTCATGCAAGTTGCACTTGCCCTTTCCCATTCCTATCCCTGGGTACCATGTCCCTCAAACCACACATTCAGTGCACCGGTGTATGCATGTAGGGATCATTGTGAGCCCATAAGGATCCCTATCACATGGAAGAGCTCTATGTATATACCAGCATACCTACCCCTTCCCATATGCTGTGAACAGTGAAACATGTGACGAGAAGAGGGACATGGCCACTGTGTGCATTGGAAATGGGAGCAGGGGTAGACCAGAGTACCACAACTCCCATCACACTTTCCTTGGAGGGGTGAGGAGACCATGTGAACTCTTTAGTGCTTCTTCTTCTGACCTAACATTGTATCTATCATACATATATCAATGTAACTTCTAACATTTTCATAACCAACTGAAAACCTCTGCCCCTTTTCCATGTCCAGCACTATCCTATTCACTTCGACGTGTCCTTACATTTGAAGTAGTTGACTGTAACAATAATTTTAGCCTTATGGTCCAATCCTATGTTTGCTAACTCAGAAGGAAGTCCCATTGAACTCAACATGGCTTACTCCCTAGTTAGTCATGTGTTTAGGATTGCAGCCTTACGTCTAGAAGAATAGGAGAAACTGTTCCTTTTAGATTCAGTCCACAAGCTGTCTGTCTGACAATCCTAGGTGAGCATTTCATGTTTGCTATATTGGCAAAGTACTTCTCTATCTATCATGAAGTGACTAGCGATGAAGCATTGGTGACAGGGAGCTGATCTCTATGGATTAGGTGCTCTTGGTTGATTTATATTACCTAATGGGCAGGACATCCCTATTGGTTTTCTTGAAGATCAAGAAGAGGTGCACGGATGAGGAGAAAAAGTACAGGTAAGAGTATATCAGTCCTTACTTGGTATTCAATAATGGCTCTTAGAGGTTCTTTACAAAACCATTTATCTTGGAATAAAATTCCCTTGACAAGTGTAAAATCCTTGACTTATTTCCAAGAATATGAAGCCAGCGTGAGCTGTAACTTAAGAGAAGGCTCGTTGCACAATAGCAGAACACATGCTTTGCATGTAAAAATTCCCAGATTCAATCCCTCTGTCATCTCCAGGTAGGACTATGAAAGACCCCTGTCTGAAACCCTAGAAGTTGCTGCTAGTGGACAATCCTGCGCTAGATAGACCAATGATCTGCCGTGGTGTAACATGGCTACTTATGTGGGCTCCAAGCAGGGATGCAACAAATATCTACAATTTTCATTTTCTGGAGAAAAATTGCTTATCTGTAGTTGATAAGTTTCCCATCATATAACAAAAGACTTCTGAATAGATATTGTAAATCCACAATAATCAAAGAAGTGACTTGCTGTGCAAGACTTCGTTCCATTACACCAATGTCACGGAATGGGGAAGGATTAACAAAAGCCCATCAGCATGAACAACAGCAAGACAGCCACCTATTTAAATGGAAAACAATAATGAGAAATAGGTTGGCATTTTGCAAAATAAAAATCCATTTCTCAGTTCTGTTTAAAAGTCTAGAGCTATAAGTAATAGCAAGCTGATTGGCTGTTTGAACAGAGAGCTCTACTGCAATTGCAAGCTGCTCAGCTTATTATTCAGTGAACAAGTCACACAAAGACCAAAAGTGTTTCCCAGCACATCTGAATGGTAATAGTGCACATGGGCTAATGGGAGAGGACATAAATTATAGAGAGTGTCCATACCTCAGTTTTAGTTCAAATGTATTACAGATTTTTATTTGACTTTGTCCAGTTCACAGATTACCCAGTTCCTTTGCTCCCAAGGTTAGGGAACTGTTCACAGAGTTTAAGAAAACTCAGTCGTCCAATCCTTCTAATGCAGTAAATTCATTACTGCAAGATCACTGATATGTGGCAACCCAGCCCCTGCTTAAAAACCTTTAACAAAGGAGTCCACCACATTCAAAATCATTATGTTCTACATTGAACTGCTCATATTGTCAGGAAGTTCTTCCTAATGTTTAACATGCTTTGAATCTTCCTTTAAACATCTCTCAGTGTGAGGAAGTCTGAAGTAGAACTGGTGCATGCAAAGATGTTGGAGCTTGCATCCATATTCCCCCACTTCAGTTTTCAAGCTAACAAGTGTTTGTTTTAGATGCTTGAAGGTGGCTTAAGTCTTTGTGATAATCAGCTGAACTAAGTAGATTTTTGTTATTTAGTTTGCCACCTGTAATTACATACTTGAGTGATTTGTATTCTGGTTGTATTCTGGGAACCTGTCTTTAAAAATGTTTGTATCCCCTCTCCATGTTTCTATAACTTGCTTTCTTCTGGTAGTGCCTACCTCCATGAAAGAAGGGATGCTCTAGGAAGTAATGCTTGGTGCTATGTGCATCTCACCTCTAAGAATCTTACCTTCACTGGCACACACACCACTATGGCCACACTAGGACATTGAATTCCACATTGCGATGTAGTGACCCCTCCTCAAGGAGTGAGCAATAGCCTGTGAGGTAGAACAAACTGGACAAGACAGCATTCTGGGTTTAAAAATTGCCCACAGCTTTATTGATATCAGGTGTAGGAAGGTTTCAGCTTATGCATTGGGTATATATTCCTCTCAGCCCCCAGGGCTGATACATGACAGGGTTGAGCCTAGGATTAATGGATCCCCCATCTGCCAAATGCCTTGGATTTGGGACAGATACCTACTTCCAATGAGAGGGAAGGGTTTAACAAAAAAGAGTGGAAATTGGAAGTATCAGAAACTGACCAGTATCAGAGACTGTGACAAGAAACAGAAATTAAAATCAGGGTTAGCAGGTGGCATGGAAAGAGAGGAAGCAGGCTAATGGGGACTTCCAATATCTGAAAATCTGGGGTCAAGGAATCAGCGAATCATAGAACTGGAAGGTTCATCCAGTCCAACCCGCTGAAATGCAGGAATGTGAACTAAAGAATCTATGATGGATGGCCATTCATCCTCTGCTTAAAAACCTCCAGTGAAGGAGAGTCCACCACCTCTTGTGGGAGTCAGTTTCACTGTCAAATAGCTCTTACTGTCATAAAGTTCTAACTGATGTTTAGGAAGTATTCAATTATTTTAAATTTATGTTGGTATTTTGAATCTTTTTATCTTCAGATCTTTCTTTCTTTCTTTCTTGTCACATATTACATTTGAAGAAAGAAGGGCTGCTAGGGATGGCAGAGGTTGATTGATTAGCCCAAAGAAACATCACCGCTCTCTCCATGTTATTAGTGGGGATGAGTAAACCATGTGAGAAAATGCCTCAGTCCTTGCATGGAGCAGTCTCTGTGATTTGAACCACCTGTGGCTCACATACTCTACCAGCCAGCATGTCGGAAACTCATCCACAGCCATCAACTAAATTAGCTCCTTCCATGCTGGGCTGCTGTACTCTTGGATTATTATTTTTTTATAAACAGACCCTGTTTCAAGGAAAACAAGATACATGATCTATTCTGAGCCTTTCTTTCCCTTTGTCTCTTGTATATAGTAGTTTCTGCTCCCAACACAGCCATTTTCTATAAAGTCACAGATTTTTGTTAGTATATCTGTATACCAGCAAGCTGTACATTGTGGAAAGAAAACAACTGAAGTACATTTGCTTGTCTTGCACTTTGCTCTGCATATACAAAAGAATTACAAAGAAATGTGAGTTCATATACCTATTTTTGCTTAACAGTACATGTATATGTGCTTTTTTATTGCTGAGTCGCTCTGTACTGTGTCTGTTTCTGTTTCTGTCTCTGATTAAGGTTCTGATCAATTTTGTGTAAAATGAAGCACTGAGTCCTCCATTTACCCTTACACAAAATAAAAGTGGCTATGACTTTCTTTCCTTTTGACAGAAGCAGGTGAAATTTGTAGGCACAGAGGCCCCTCCAGAGTGGATTAAGCCTGTCAAAATATAGACAAACAGGTATGGCTTTTGAGGATAAAGTAATAAGAAGTCACTTTTCTCCACAATCCATATCCTTTATTAGTTTAATTACCGTATTTTTCGCCCTATAGGACGCACCGTCCCATAAGGCGCACCTAGTTTTTTGGCGGGGAAATAAAGGGGGGGGAATTATTTTTTCCCCCAGGCGTGGGGCTGGGGCGGGGGATGCCCGAGCTTCCCCTGACCCCAGCCCCCAAACAGGCAGCTCTCTGCAAGCCATGGGAGCCCAGTGCTGGCTCCCGCTACTTGCTGAGAAGTGCGCGAAGCCTGGACGCGCTGAGCTCAGCGCGCGCAGGCTTCAGCATGCAGGCAACTCTCCGCAAGCAGCGGGAGCCCAGCGCCGGGCTCCCGCTGCTTGCGGAGAGGTCCACGAAGCCTCAACGCGCTGAGCTCAGCGCGCGCAGGCTTCAGCATGCAGGCAACTCTCCGCAAGCAGCGGGAGCCCAGTGCTGGCTCCCACTGCTTGCTGAGAGGTGCGCGAAGCATAGACGCACTGAGCTCAGCGCGGGCAGGCTTCAGCATGCAGGCAACTCTCTGCAAGCAGCGGGAGCCTGGAGCCAGGCTCCCGCTGCTTGCGGAGAGGTCCGCGAAGCCTGGAGATAGAGAGGGGTCTGTGCGCACTGACCCCTCTCTCTCTCCAGGCTTCAGTGAAAGCCTGCATTCACCCCATAGGACGCACACACATTTCCCCTTCATTTTTGGAGGGGAAAAAGTGCATCCTATAGGGCGAAAAATACGGTAAATCTCCAAAATCCATATTAATTATATTGGGGTTGGGGGGGCTTGTCTTTTGCTCTTTCTTACCTTAGAAGAATTAAGAACTGACTGAGAGACCCCAGACTGAAGATGAATCCTGCTAGGACAGTGACATTGTGGCTGAGTTGTTCCCAGAATCAACAAATTTGGATTTGGATTCCCTCTTGAAGCAGCAGGTATGCAGTTTAGGAGTGCAATTTGCACCATCTTTGTCCATAGAAGCCCAGGTGACCTCTATGGTAAACAGCCCTTATCACCTACTTAAGCTAATACATCAACTGTGCCCTCACCTGGAGAAGGATTGATTTGCCACTGGGTCACATGTGCTGGTAACCTCATGTTTACACTACCGTAAGTTCTCCATGTTGAGCATCTCTTATGGCCAGTGCAGAATGCTGCAGGCCAGTGCTGAGATTGGAGTGGTGCCAACACACTGGCACAACTGACCCAGCACTCCTTCTGACATGTATGCACAATGCTGTTCCTTGACCCTCACTCTCTCCATTCCACTATGCAGTAGTGACATGGATAACTGGAAATTAGGTGTTTGCCGACACCCCACCTTCCCTGGCCATCTGCTACTGAATGGAGGTGTAGTGTATTTTTCTAGAGTGGAGCAAGAAACCCTAGGGAAAATGTATTAAAACCCAAGTTGGAGAAGAACTGTAGAGTTGTATATCTGAGAAATTTCTCATGGAATCCAAAGTGTTGTATTGCAAAGGGAATGGTTTCTAGCTAGATCAGATGCATGTACATATATATCTTAACTTTATTATAATTTCTGCTGTTTCCTGTACCTTATTCAAGATATTGATGGTGTCTGTAAGTCTGCACTTATTTATTTAGAAGACCTGCTTAAGTAGGGGGAAATGTGACAGTTAATGCTGGGTAATGAATAGTGCTTATCAACTTTCTGCCTCAAACTTTTGTTTTATAATTGGCCCACTGCAATTATGCCATGAGTGAAACACTATTGGTTGATTTATTATAATTGATTTGAGGCAGATGGTGGTAAGTGTTGAACTGCACTCTGTATGGCATGGTACTAATGACAATTGCACCACAAATGGCATAGTGTGTAGTTTGATCAAGATAAGTTAATACTTTCTCTTTCTATAAATATAGAAGGCATTGGAGGAAACAGGGCAATAACTTAGTTTTTTGAAATGTCTTATGTTTCCTTTCCTTAACTACTCACACTCCCTTTATAGATATTATCGGATAAGTAGATTACTAAAGCTGTCTTATCAGCTGATCTAACAGAAAGGGTCTGACCCCCTACTTCATAAAACAGTCTGACAGATATCATCTTGCCACAGATGTCAGTTATTTTCCTCTGAGCTGTTGGGATCACAATACGCGTGATGTGGCACTGATATAAAGAGAATAACTAAGACGTTTTATTTCACAGGGCTCAGTGAAAAGAAATTTGCTCAAAACCTTCATGTTTAACAGGTAAGTTTAGGTTTTGTGCTGCATTCCATTCATTTATCTTTCACTGAGCCAAATGAATGGGAGCTATATAGATAGATATTCTGCATGAGTTTGTGCCTTCCAGCCAATGGAGACAAAAAAAAATTGAATATTACCGGTGGCTTATGAGCTTGCAGATTCATACCTAAAGAACTGCCTGTCAAGAAACCAAGCAAACTAATAAAGTCATTCTATTCTAGTATCAATTAGCAACTTGTGATGCCTTCTCTGCTCATGCAGCAAACAAATCTTCATCTCCATTACTGCTTATATTACCATAATATTTTTGTTACGATGGTAATAATTTTTGTGTCACTGTGCTCGCTCGCATATCTATCTCAGAAAATGGCATAAATAGAGATGGGTGGTAGATATTTGTATGAAAATAGATACTGTGAATCAAATACCACTGGTGCTTTGCTTATGGAAATGCCCACTTGGGGCCCTTTCCCACAAAGATATATTAGTCTACAAGTTTTGCTATGAGAGTGAATGCTACCTCTTTCCAGAGTAACCGTTATAATTTCTGGAATGATGCCCTGGCTTCAATCTGCTGATATTGCTGTGGAATATGAATGTTGGCACTTTGAGGCATCATGTCCTATAAAATCCTTTCTTGCCCTAAGAAGAGCCAGTCATATCTATTTAATTTTGGCTAGCTAGCCATTTATTACAAAGAATCCCTTAGACAAAATACAGCCGTTTTACAGCTTCTGCCTTTATAAATTCTTCTAGCTAGTTTCATCACCACTAATTGAAAACAATAACAGCATTTTTCTGAGCACTAGAGTAATTAGCAATATGATTTTAATTATGGAGACTTGCACTTTCTTAAATAAAAAAATCATTCCAGTTTCACTCCACTATAAATGATATCTTAATCTTACCTGCACTGCAGAATGTTGTTGTTGTTTTTTTAAAAAAGAAGCAGCAGCAATGCCCTGTTAAATTAGAGGAAAATATATTTTATTTACATGTAAAATGAGAAGACATGAATAATTTTTTTTAATCATGCATGGCTATTCTTCACGTTTAATACACATTTGCAGCATTAACCATGGGTGCCCATTAAATTAAACTTGGAATTCAAAGCAGGAATTTCAAACATTTGAGCAGGTACAGTGGGATTCTATACATGTCTACTCAGAAGTAAGCTCCAGTTGGACTTATCTTAAAGTAAGATAGGTGTATACAGGATTGCAGCCACAGGGTTGTAGCCAAGTTCTACTTAGAGTAGGCCCATTTAAATTAATGGACCAAAGTATGACTAATGTTAGACACAACTCCTAATCATTCTTTATTTAAGAATATTTTCAAACTATGAGAACACTAGCCAATTGCATATCTGTTTACTTAACCTATTGCTTGACAGCCATCTCCTTTCTTGTAAATTGAAGCTATTGCTATGAGCCCTACCCTCCAGAGCAGGAGAAATCAAGTTTGCTCCATCTTCCATGTGGCAACCCTTGAGATATGTGAAGATGGCTATCAAATCTCCTCTCAAACTCCTCTTTTCAAGGCTAAACATACCCAGCTCCTTCAACCATTTTTTCATAATACTTGGCTTCTAGACCCTTGATCATCTTAGTTACCCTCCTCTGCACACATTCCAGCTTGTCAACAACCTTCCTAAATTGTGGTGCTCAGAACCGGACACAGTAGTCCAGGTGTGGTCTAACCAAGGCAGAATACAGTCCACAAAGTTCAGGTATTCTGGCAATGTTGATTCGACCACACTTTCTTCTTTGTGGTATTGGTCCTTTTGGCAGGAGATGGACCTTGCTTGCCACCAGGGAGTGATTTGAGTCACAGTCAGCATTGTGATAGCCATGTGACACAAACATAGTTCAGTGTCAATCGCATGGTGACAATCAAGATCTTCTGGTGCCAGTGACCTGACTTTGGATGTGTCCAGGACACTTGCTGTTTCGACCTAGTAGAGAAGAACATGTTCATGGTGCAGCAGCTGTGATATGGACACATGTCAAGCAGCCTTTGTCCATTCTCATTCATGCTGCCAATACTCAAGTGCCCTATGCAGTTGTCTCATGTGTCGTGATCACTCCCAACTCTGGCATTGAAATCTCCTATTAGAAATAGGCTGGGAACATCTTACTTAACTAAGCTTACTTAGTCAAGGTTGCTGAAATGTAGTCATCTTGGACATTAACATTATGCCAGTCTGCTGTTTGACAGGAAAGGGAAAGCAGGGAATAAATCTTGTCTTCATGTCTTCTTGAAAAAGTAATTAAACCCACCTAAGGTTCGAATCCCCGCGACAGGGTGAGCTCCCGTTGCTCGGTCCCAGCTCCTGCCCACCTAGTAGTTCGAAAGCACATCAAAGTGCAAGTAGATAAATAGGTACTGCTCCGGTGGGAAGGTAAACAGCATTTCTGTGTGCTGCTTTGGTTTCACCAGAAACGGCTTAGTCATGCTGGCCACATGACCCGGAAGCTGTATGCCGGCTCCCTCAGTCAGTAAAGTGAAATGAGCGCTGTAACCCCAGAGTCATCCGCGACTGGACCTAATGGTCAGGGGTCCCTTTAAGAGTGCGTATCACTAGCTAAAGCTAGGAGCTCCAGCACACAATGAAATCAATGTAGCAAGTTCTGTTAGGAGCAACAGGTTTTAAAGCATGCCATTTTCTCTCAGGGGGAGTTCTGTGTATTGTTCATATTTTATGTACAGTCTGCATGCTTTATGTATTTTACCTATATATTTTTACATATGTTATGTTCAATCACCCCTAAGATGCTAAGAGGGAATTGAATGCAAACTGCATAAAATTCCCTGTGAGAGCAACAGCATACTATCAAGAGTTGTTGCTCCCGACAGGACTTTCTACATTGTTTTCAATGTACACAGTGGCAGAAGCCCTGCAATCCAAGTTGTCATTTTTAGGAGGGTGAAATTACTCTTTAGAAATAATAAAAGAGGGCAGGCAAGAAGTCTTTGGACCACATACACTTTCAATTCAGACCACCACATAAGTGTGTGTGCTTTTCTTAATGCATTCATTACACACACACACACCCCTTTGTCTTTAAAAAGTCACATGGAACGTAAAGGATTTTTCTTTCCATTCTGTGACAAACCAGCCCAACAACATTTTTGTTTTTTGTCCACCCCTACCCAGCCTGTGTAGTGAACAACTATACAAAAACAATTCAATTTCCTCCATGTGTTAAGCATTTATTTGCACCAGCCTCTAATCTGCGAATCTTCTAATCAATATTGTTGTCATCGGGCAATATAATCCCCATGTGGGTAGCATCATTTGGGAGAGATGAATATGCTAAGCTCTGTCTCTGCAACAATGTCACTATCCACAGTTCCCACTATAACCATGGATGATTCTAAATCACACAGGTTTTGAATAGGAATCACACACTTCATTGTCATGGAGGGTGACAGTGACAGGGATGGAGCTTAATAGTGCTTGTTCCCCTAAGAGAGTTAATAGTGTGGCCAATTAAAATACTTGCAGAGAGTTTGTGTCATAAAGAAAAAACTTATTAAGATCCAGTACACACCAGGTCACACCACACCTGGAATACTGTGTCCAATTCTGGGCACCACAATTTAAGAAGGATGTTGACAAGCAGAGGAGGGCAACCAAGATGATCAAGAGTCTGGAAACTAAGCCTTATGAGGAACGGTTGAAGGAGCTGGGTATGTTTAGCCTGGAAAAGAGGAGATATGATAGCCATCATCAAATATCTTAAGGGCTGTCACATGGAAAAGAAAGCATGCTCGTTTTCTCCTCCTCTGGAGGGTAGGACTCAAACCAATGGCTTCAAGTTGCAAGAGATCAGATTCCGACTAAACATTCGAAAAAAACTTTCTGACAGTAAGAGCTGTTTGGCAGTGGAACAGACTCCCATGAGAGGGGGTGGACTCTCCTTCCTTGGAGAGTCATGGATGCTTTAGCTGGGATTCCTGCATTGCAGGGTGTTGGACTAAATGACCCTTGGGTCCCTTCCAGCTCTAAGATTCTATGATTCTAGTCCATTCACATCTAAGCCCTGATAACTGTATTCATACTCCAGATGTCATGAGACCCTCTGTCGTGTTGCTGCAGCAAAGACACTGCAGTGTTGCTGTTGTTGCTTTAAAAAACCTTATTTCTTACTTTTCTTATAATAATTGCTTTTCAGTATGTAGCCTTACATACCTAACTGTATATTTAGTAATTCTATATATGTCAGGTGGAATATAAAAAATATGTAGCATGATAAGCAAGTAGTGAACAACACCTCCCCATATGTCAGATTAATGTTTAACTTTTAAATTATGTGAACAAGTTAAATAATCCATATCATATGACAGTTCTTAAGAGCTGAGCCCCTAGATCCTATAATACATCTTAAGAAAATGCAGTTTAAGAATTTTTTTCTGTCACAACATAGGGTATAAGACTGCACTCAGATTTTATTTGTTAAAATATTTATTCATCCACCTTTTTGCTTTCAAAATGTATTTTTTTCCTGCAAGTGTCTCTCCTTTGTAGAAGCATCTATGTAAGGGAGGCTCATCGTTTAATATATTAGCCTCCCTAGCAGCTTTGTATAAGCACACATGTGCCACACTAATCTATATGCCGTAATGGATGATCAGAGTGCAATCCTGGTGGCTGCGGGGGTCTGCTTTGTCAGGATGTTCCCTGCAAAGAATGTGTTGGTGAAGAAGCACCCAGCAGAATTAGACCATCCGCCCCTGCCCATCAGATGACTGATGTTAGCTGACGTACAAGAGGGTGTGGTTTTGTGGAAATGGCCCCAGAAGCCAACTTGAACCCCATGATGGGCCAAGATTGGAAGAGGAACTGTGTCTCAGTGGGTTGAGCATCTGGTTCGCATGCAGGTCCAGGTTCAATCCCCGGCTTCTCCTGGTTCTCTGGGAGAGAACCATGCCTGAAATCCTTCAGAGCCACTCCCAGTCAATGTCATCTATACTGAGTTAAATGGGCCAATGGTTTGACTCAGTACAACACAGCTTCCTGTGTTCCTAAAGTAACACTGAGAGTAGCAGCAGCAGCAATATAGATTAACAGTTTAATTTGCAGTAGGTATCCCCCCCCCAAAGATGACATGGTTTTTACCTGCCTGTATATCTAGAGTACACAATCACATTATGATTAATGAATTATCACAATATTTGCAGATTACTCTCCTTAACAGTATGTCCTAAACTGTATTACAGTTATATAAATATGGAGGAATATGTTCTGCATTCTTATAAAGAGCTTCTCTCATTTTTTTGCCCACCACAGCATAAGTAAAATTCATTCCGTTGACAGGATCAAAAGATTAGCCATAGCGGTGAGGGGTTTTTTTGTTTTATTTTGTTATTTTTCTACAGGAAGATCAATCCAGTTGCATGTTTTTGGCATAAAATATTGCTCGGTGCTACTTAGAGGGAAACCATAAATCCACTGAGGTGCTACATTAATCAACCCATCCCTGGCAGCTTAAGTATATATCTGTTAAAATGAAACTCATTGCTTTTACAGGTACATAATTTGATCCCTCTGTCATCCTTTAAAGCTCTTCGAGAGATGTGGGTGTCATAACCTAACTTCACAATGAATATTCATTGTATACCTTGCAGGATTCTTTAAAAAAAAATCAAAAAAGAAGTCATCACACTCTAGGAATTGCTGTGGAAAAATACACTGTTTTTATGTGTAAGCTAGCTTCTTCAAAAATAGTGTAAATAATAATTAGAGATTTAATTAGCTGCTGCCTCCTCAAGGAGCAGGCAATGTGCTGGAGAAGTTGGAATTGATGGGATGCCATGCAGAAGGGGAGATGCTGACCCTGCTCTCCTAAATGAAACCTAAAACCTAATTTTATTCAAATTAATCCCCAGCAAGTCAAGATCATGACTTGCCAACAAGAGGTAGAAAATAAGCCAATAATGGACTGGCAGAATCCGAGACCAGGGAGAAGAGTCGGTGGAAGAAGATTGGAAAAAATTTAAAGCTTATTTACAGAAATATTGTAAAATTAATGAATGTTAGAAAGATGCTGGAATGAAGTTATATGGCTTTAGCAGAAATGTTATAAAGAATTAAGTAAAAATAGATTGTTAATGGGTCAAAGTGGAAATTTAAGGTTAATTGTGTTAAGATAAATTATAGAACAAAAATTAAGAAAGATGGAAAGGATTTGCTGAAATAGCTAATTGAACAAGAATACAAAAAAGGGAGGTGTGAGGAGGTCGATGACACAAGTAAATGAAAAGTAGAGATATAGAGATATTGGATGTGTTTTTTAAATGTTTTTGCTTTTTTTGTTGTTCTGTTGTATTGTTTTTTTGGTTTTTTTTCTTTACTTTTGATGTATTGTGAACTTTTTATTGTTTCTTTCTTCTTTTTTCTGTAACTATTAAACCTTTAATAAATATCTTTTTTAAAAAAAAGAAAATACGCCAATAATGAATAAAACTCTGAGGAAACTGTTGTGTTGATGTGGCAGGAAAACTCTCCTCCCTGACTTCTAAGCCTTATTCAAGTGGTGTTCTTAAAAATACATTGAGGGAGGTGTGGGAATGTGCATGCCCCAGCTCCCACCATGAGTTGCCTCCGACTTTTGCACATTGGGTGGAAGTGCTGAAGTTGAATTCTTCACATGAACATGCTTAGATCTGGAGCCTCAATGCATGGGGTTCCTGATTCTACATGCATGGGATTCTACATGTGTTCAGCCAAACACACTTGGAATCCCCCCCCCCCTTTCAGCTCAATATAGCAA